CACTCCCGCTAGTTCTTTTACTATGTGTGCTTCGCTTACTTCGCTCATATCCCCACTCCACGCAGTATAGAACCAGTCACCCTGAAATACGCCGCCGCCGTCTACTTCGCACGCATCAGTGGTAAACTCATCATAAGATACCGGCTCACCCCTAACTGCAAAGGTAGTAGCAATAAAAGTACTACAGAAGTCCGCCCACCACTGATTGTCTGCTCTGGCCTCTTTGTTTAAGGTCAGGTAGTGTTGTTTATTTCTAACGGTAGTGCTTAAGTCGATCAGACGCCTGATGAACGTGCGCCCACCACATACTGCACGTGCATCCCAGTTCAGCTTGCCTATCAGGCTCAGCAATTGACACTTTATTGTCTTCCGCTTGCTGACAATTTTATGTAAACACTGATGCAATTCCGTTAGTTTCTCGTGGGGCAGAGTTAGGGTACCCGTTACACTGTTGATCTGGATTCCTAGATAAACCATTACCTGCGTGGGAGGGACCTACTTTTCGCAGTTAATTGTGAAGCCTGGGAGCTCAATGATACTGCGATAAAGCGAAATTGCGATAATGCGAAATGGTTAAACGAGGTGGCGAAACAGCGATACTGCGATATGGCGATAAAGCGATTTATTCATCTTTATATGAGTTTGTGTGTATGTAGTATGTACTTATGTGTATTTGTGTGATGCGTCCATGTTGTATTTGAATTAGTATCGTATTAGTTTAAGTGAGAAAGCAAAAACTTTCTAGGGATTTCAATGTAATGATAATATTCGGTGTATGCAAATGGATTTTATGCAATAGTAATCTTCTGTGATTGCCCATCATGAATATGGTGCTATTGTGTAACTCATCGTCTGAATCATCAAAATGCAGCAACAACCGAATAATACATAGAGAGAGAACAAACATGATCGACGAACCACCAAAAGGTGGAGTGGTTATTATTATTGAAGACTAGATCTCTTATAGCAGCTGTTCAACTTCGGCGTCATATCACCACTGATTAAAACACAATGGAACAACGTGGGCGAATGGACTCACTGTTCCATCCATAAGTGTTCAAAATTACACTAAATGTAATTTCTTTTTACTTATTTACCGGTTTTCTTTAAATTGTCATTACTAGCATATCATTTGGCTGATTATTTCAATCTTAATACATGCAACACGAAGTAAAAGGCCGTTATTGTACAAATATATCATTGTCTTATCTTTAAAACCATCGTATGAGCTACAACCAAATCGAGAAAGTGTTACTCTAACTTTGTAAAAGATAAGTTCTACTTTTTTAAATAAAGTGTGCTATTCAGTTTTTTCTAGAATTAGGTAAACTGCCATGCCGTTTTGAGATGTACATGTCTTTCAAGGCCCATGTTAAACGCCTTATCAACATCTGTAGCGCGTATACGTGTTGCAACTAAATATACACATGAGCGTTAATTAAGCGCAACCTGGAACTAAGGGCAATTTTAAAACTTTTAGCTCAAACAGGCGATCTTCCTAGAATGCACATGTAAAGCACGTGCTTCACCCAATCTATAAAATGCAGTGGGTCGCAGGTTCATGTGCTGCTTAACGCGCCCTAATACATTGGGGTATATATTTCAAAATTGCAGTATGTGCAGTCTGAACTGATATAAAAGATGACAGTACATGTATCTTTCCAGTAAAATCCTAATGCTCTTGCTTCCATAAATCTGATAAAAACAAATGAATTGGGCCTACTTTTGAAATCAAATACTTTAATCCAATCATGTGTAACATTGTATCCCGGGCTGTTTAGTTGGGCTATCTGTCTCCTTAAACACAGAAGTTCCTCAGCGGGTCCACAACACTTTATTCGGCGTCAAATATACAATTACATGATAGTACAGCAACGCACAGATAGCATATCAGAGGGGATCATCAATCCACCTGCCTTGCCGTTTTACGAGGGTCCAGTCCCGTTGAAAACCAGAATTCTACATATATTCTCACTTTCAGGCATCTTTGTATCGTATGTACAGTACATGTATGGTCAGTCTGCAGTACCCAGTACCTCATCCACAATAATCAGCTTCCGTCGCCAACCGGCCATTTGCTGCTGGCCTACACATGGCTTTGCTTTTAACTGCACTGTAAAGAGTTAACTCAGGAATACACGAACGTATCTATACTCCCCTTTAAAACCTCCATCCCGCCAAATTGCCAACGATAATTGTCAAAAACTCTGAGATTCATTTACTGTACAGTGGACTCTGAATTATCCCACAATCTGTGTATTCCGACAAATATTTTTGGGCCCCGGCAGCGTTCTTCTATATTATCATCATATTAATATTGAATTATCTGACATCTGTACATTCAGAATTCCGACACCATTTTGTGGTAACAATGACACTATCACGCTGTACAATCCGACATCCTCTCCCCATATTAGACTAAAATAGCCAATCAACCTGTCAATGGATACAATGGAGGACTTTTTCATGAAAGTGTGAATATGATTGTGATTGGGTAGTCCGCATGGTATGTACATTGTACTGAAGAGAATACATACCGATGACACATGTGTATGTAAATACTGATTTTGTTTTTTTCCCTTTATTTACCAAGTAAATAGCAATCAAACATTAATTTCATGAAGCCAGTTACAATCTATGGTACTGTTTGAAAAGTATTCAAGCAACGAGACAGTGAATTATCCGATACGCTGTATAATCCGACATTTTCCACCGGTCCCAGTGAGTGTCGGATTATACAGCTTCCAGTGAACCTACTGAGATTAATTTGTTGGCAATATATTGTTTACTTTTTTTATAGATAGAAGAAGAAAAGTATTCTAGAACTTTTCGTTTATAATGATAGTTTCCTTTCTTGATAAGCAGCCACCATTCTTAAAAGTAGACCCTTCAGAGATCGATTTCCCATAAGATTAGGCAGATCGATCAGGCACCGTAAGAGCCCAAATCTCTTATAGCCTACAGAATTCTCAGGATCATGACATGGACAAGTATCACAGTTTGGAATATGTCATCTCTCATTGTGCTTTTGGATGACCTATTTCAGTAGAATGGACGGTTTTACGAATGCGTTTATCTCACATACTATTTATTCACATTTTTTAATTCACTTCACTTGGATACTCTTTGTATGAAACAATCTGTGGACATAGTTTTGTAATGATATATTATGAGAAATGGCATGTCACTTTGTTTCAATTTCACTGGGAAATAAATATGTAAAACTGGAACAAACGCAAATACACTTGAGTAGAACTATTTCATTGTCATAATCACAGAACATTTTGGAGCCTTATCCATTTTCACTCAAATAAATTCATATTGTAATTGTTTCTGGCAATATATTTTTCTCAATGTCATATACATCGTTTAATAACCCTTTATATGTGGTGAAACTTGGTTTCACACCATTTCCCTTATCGATACCTTTGTTATGTTTGGGTGTCCAGCAGTTTGAATGACTTCTTTCCATTTTGGGGGAATACTGACGATGACGCGATTTATGTCAAGTACTGTGCCCTTGATATCAAATTTTGTTTTAAGTTCTGCAAATGAGAGTACCTCTTAGTCATTGAAAATGTCTTTAATATTAACAATTCCTTGTTTGAACCAGTTATTTTATTATCAAAGATGTGTTGCGAAACTGGTGATTTAACCAGAGAAGTTGCATAACAATGTCGTTTATGTTGATATGATTCACTACATATCCCTTTATATATCTATGCCAGGCATCAAGTGCATCTTTATCTCACATACTTCCCGCTATCTTATTATCGAATCCTAAGAATGAATCAACTTACCCGCTTTTCTACATATCGCCATATCGCAATGTCGCTGTGTCGCCATATCGCAATGTCGCTGTATCGCCATATCGCAATATCGCCTTTTCGCGTTATCGCCATATCGTAATGTCGCGTCTTTTTATCGTCATTTTGTTTCGTGATATCGCCATTTCGTGTTGTATTATCGCCATTTCGTGTCGTGTTATCGCCATTTCGTGTCCTGTTATCGCCATTTCGTTTCGTGTTATCGCCATTTCGTGTCGTATTATCGCCATTTCGTGTCGTGTTATCGCAATGTCTTGTCGAGTTGTTGCCATTTCATGTTGCGTTATCGCTATATCGTGTCTTGTTATCGTCATGTCGTGTCGTGTTATTGCTATATTTCGTTTTTGGATGTATCGCAATATCCCTATATCGTGTCGCCATATCGCAATATCGTGTCGTACTATCGCTTTGTCGCGATATCGCCTAGATTTCTTCAGGGCGATAAAGCGATGGCCCGAATGAGCCACCATAGAAAACAATCAAAGTGAAAACATCTAACCTAAATAAAGTTCCAATTACAAATTTGTGCCTTTCCAAAGCTCTATCTGATTGATCGTCTTTACTTGATATATCTTCTTCGCTCTCTGTTCTGCTGTCAAAACTATTTACAGACAGTAATAATATGTGCAAATGTGTTAGGTCACTGGCGAACGTTAGTTACCTACTAAATACTGTACTTAAGCAGTGGGTTGACTCCCTACTATGACGTCAGGTCACATGATGCCAGACTCTGCTCATTAACTCTCGGTAGTTTCCGGAATACGAGTAGTTGTTTAATGTATTTGGCTACACATGTTGACTTAAGAAAAACGTTTTTCTTCAACACATTCCTTTTTGCGTGCTTTAGAAATACATTACAATACAAGTTCATGTTTTACTGACGGTGTATATCCTTTTAGGACATTTACCGCAAAAACATCAGGCAGAAAACACAAATTGTTCACGATACCCATGCAATGGGGTGGTTGTTTCTATGCCATGTCTGATCGGAAACCTGTGTTTCTTTTCAAAACATCTGATTCGTGTTCATCGTTTGTTTTGCTCGTTAGTATGTATCCCCCATATCACATGAAACACAATTCCATCACCAGTATTCTGAAGCCTCACAACAGTAATCCTATTATTTCACCATTAAAGGAAGCTGGGTTTTTTATAGCTGTCGCCGACAGCCTTTTATTTCTCTATCTTTCCATCAGAAGGCTGCTTCTCCACTGTCTGATATAGGGAGTTGTACGTGCTACCCGTATTTGGCTCACCACCAAAAGCACGGGCTTCTACACCTGTCACGTATGACAATTTGAATTCACATTCAATTGTCATCCGTCAGCCGTCACACATGTATGGCTGACACAACATCTTCCTAATGTTGGATGAGAAAGGGCTATGCGACTCCCGTATGGCTCCACAGGCTAACATTTCATGAAGATGCTCCCTCACTTCCTCAAACATTCCAGGTGGTATGCGACGATGAGGGTCCTTAAATGGGGTGTCATCAGTGAGATTAATCTCATGTTGAACTGCAGTGGTGTGTCCTAAGTCTAAGATGTTCTTCGACATGATGCAATCCCATTTCTGAAGCAAAGTCATGGCCTGGTCCTTTTGTGCATCTGTTAGACAACTGTTGGAAAGGTCGATGCTAACTGTTGGAGCTGGAGTTGGTTCTGCATGTGTCTGGGTCTTCAGTGGTAAGGCATCAATAGGTACTTGGCTAAGTACACGGACCTCATGTAACTTGCAGAGTCTTGTCTTGGCTGGTATGGTGATAGTTCTTGCTGAGAGGTTGCAGATTCGAACAGGAATCCTTGAAGAGTTACCATGTTTTCCAATATCTACAAGCCTTGGGCATACCGAAAGTCCTGTCTGTAGATCAGAATCCAAGTCGAAGTGCTCGGTAACTGCTGTTGTTCTTCCGGGTTGATGTCGAACAAGTCCATAAACAGTCATCATCTGGTTTGGCTGAACATTAATAGGGAACTTATTTGTGGATCTTACTTGACCGATGATTCCATTAGAGGCTTGGGACCGGACAGCTGTAACCCATGAAGGAGGGATGCTGCTGTTGACTGGTTCCAAGTAAGCTTCTACCTGATCTATAAGGTTGGTGCCGATTACCAAAGGGACTCTTCTGTTGTACTCCGTGTCACCAGTTACAAGTAGTGGTAGTGTGAAGTTCTTGTTGATAAAAGGGATGTAGATGTTAGCCTCTATGTATCCGGTGTAGGGAAGGATGTTATCGCCTGCTGCCATTACTTCCACTTCAAAGTCAGTGAGTGCCTTCAACGGGAGGTGACTTAGACTTGACTTGTGATATCCTTCCGATACAGTGGAGACCATGGATCCAGGATCAATCAAAGCTTCACAATCCAACTCTTCGATGTTAACTGATGCCTCATTCGCCTTGCCTATCATCCACTTGAGGGGCTAGTAAAGTCTTCAGCCTCTGCATGCCCCGCTGAAGTAGGCTGAATCAGTTCAAAGCTTCATTTCCTCTTCCTCTGCCAGTGCCTCTTCCTCTTCCTCCCCTGCCTCTGCCTCGAGACCGTGATGGTTGCAGAGGGACTTGTCTAGGTGGATTCTCCTTCTGGGATTCCAACACTGTTAACCGGTCGAGAATCTGTTGTAGCATCTGGTTATCAGACGTTGGTTTCCGGTGAGCTGTCTCCAACTTCTCCAGTCTCTTGGTGATGGAAGTGAGTTGCTCTGAGATATCTGTGGGGGAAGAAGTGGTAGATCCTTCCAGTGGCTGTGAGAATCCAAGAGTCTGTTGTGGCTGATGGGTGCTACGTGGCGGCCGGGATCTAACAGGTTGAGTGTTGGAGAGCTCCTGTTCGATGAGCCTGACTGTCTGTAGCAAGGTTTCGAAATCCATTGTTGAATAGAAGGCATGTCGTGTGGCATCCTTCAAGTGTGGATTCCTCAGTCCAGTCCAGAATCTATTCCTGAGCATGGCATTCCTTCCGCGATTATCCATGTAGGCTCCTCTGTCCAATGAACGTTGAAGCAAGTCCTCCAATCGTATCGCCCATGATGCTACCGATTCCCGTTTCCTGCTGTAAGGTGTGGTGAAATTCCTGAAGTAGGGATTCCGCTGTGACAATGGTGCCATAGGGTCCTTCCAAACGTTGCACGATGTCTGTGATGGTGGCATACTCCCCGAGGGATACAAGTAGACGAGCAGCGTCTCCTCTGAGCGATTTCCGGACTGCTTGAGTGTGTTGAAGAAGGCAGACTCTCATCCTTCATAAGGCAACGGACTTCGAACTTCCAATTCTCGAACGTAGTCTCTCCCTTTGGAATTGGATCTTCACCTGAAAAACAAGGATATGCGAGGTGGTTGCTGGTATACAGGCCAAGGTTGAGGAGGGTAGAGCTGATTTGGAATGGCGAAGGAGTTTGGTGTAGGGACATAAGAAGGAAAACTAGGAGGGTTAAATGAAGAAGAATGTGGCTTGGGTTTTATGTGTGGTGTAGAAGTAAAAGAAGTAGGTTGTATGTTGTATTTCCCAGTCTTCTGTAGGTATGACAACATCCTAGCTTCATCCTCTTCTGAGATCACTTCCGATCTCACTTCCCAATCTTCACCTCCTTGTGCCATGGTAACGGTACTATGAGTGATATATGTACAATGTGCGTATGCAATACTAACACATGTGTTCACATAAAGTGAAAATGCAAGTGTAAGTTGCAACTGATGTTTACAAGAGGTAATACGGTAGTGTACCAAAAATGGGTACAGAAATGTAAACACCAGAGAATGCAAAAATATAAACCCCTAGCTGTCAACCGAAAGTGAACCTAATAATAGACACCAAGGGCACAACAAGAGTAATAAAATTACTGATGAAACAACGCAAACAATCCCAGAAAGAACAAAACAACTTCAGCTGGAATGGAAGCAAAGGGAGGTAATCGCCAATAGGACAGGCGAGGATAGACCTATAGGACAGAGAGAAGAATGAAGACCCTAAGTTTTGATAAAGCTACAAGTTTAAGGTTATACAGTGTGCCTACAAACGCGAACGCGGTGAACAACGCGATAACTGACGCGAGTGCGATGACCTGTTAGTGCAAGTGTATGTGACCGACGCGCTCACACAATCATAATGTAAAGAAACAATATTGCACTAGTAATATAACACTAAGAATACTTCGTCGTTTTTACAGACGCCAACTTGTTATAGGGAACTAACTAAGCTAACTTAAACCACCTCAGCTAACTAAACTAAACTAAACTAAACTAAGTTGACTTAAACCAGCCAAGCTAATATTAAACTAACTAAGCTAAACTAAGTTGACTTAAACCAGCTAAGCTAATATTAAACTAACTAAGCTAAACTAAGTTGACTTAAACCAGCCAAGCCAATATTAAACTAACTAAGCTGAACTAAGTTGCTTCACAGTAGCATAAGCTGTGCATGATATGATATTTTGATCATGATGAATAAATATATTATTGCACAATCAATATTATCACAGCAAGTGTACACAGAAATACAAAGACAAAAATTTCATAAGAATTCAATGTATAAATGCAATGTAAATAGGTGAAACAATGTGAAATGTCTATGAAGTATATGAAAGTCTCTGATGATAAATGTCAAAAGATGTCCATCACAGATAATCGCAGATATTCACAGATGAACAGTTACCACTTGATCAGTTGATAACAGTTATCGCAGTTGGTTCGTTATGCAGAACTTTATGTATGTAAATTCACACAAGTTCATAACACGAGCTCATCACAGTATTTACGGTATTGCAAGTCAAAAACCTGTTTCACGATGTGTTGCTCCGTGAACGATGTGAGTGAGGAGTTCATATGTAGTACCTCAGTTGGTTGACAAGATGTGTAGACAGTGAACCATGACGATGTTGCTGACGATGTAGGTCATGTTGATGATATAGGTCATGCCGACGAAGTCGTTGTCACTGTCCTTGACGAGGCTGATTGACTCCGTCCCTGTTCGGGCGTTTGTCGCGGGTTCAGGCCTGAGGTCTTGCCAAGCAGACAAAATAATGGACGGAGACCCTCGTTCGTGTGAAACATCTTGTTTATTGCCTGTGAATGAAATATTAGAAGATGTTGTGTCAGCCATATGTGTGATGGCTGACGGATGACAATTTGAATTCACATTCAATTGTCATCCGTCAGCCATCACACATGTATGGCTGACACAACATCTTCCTAATGTTGTATTTCATTCACAGGCAATAAACAAGATGTTTCACACGAACGAGGGTCTCCGTCCATTATTTTGTCTGCTTGGCAAGACTCAGGCCTGAACCCGCGACATAGCTATCAACAGCTGTGACAGCTTTTGTTTAAATGTAAGACCATATACACCGAAGAGCAACTATAGTTCGTAATTCACGACTAAACAGATCCCACTTGTATGTTTTCGATAACATTGCAAAACAGTTTCCATTGGATGTAGACGGCGACACAGCGGTGACAATTATGTTAATATATAGATCACTGAAAATAAGTACTGACAGAAGATGTTGACAAAAAGGGTCCCGCCCAACTGTTGACAGAAAGGGTACAAACAGTCCTACCCTCATGTATGTAATGAAAGCGAGAGGCATTACTAGCACCTGGGTGCAGGTGGCTAGTGTGCCTGTTGGGTGATGACAGATAGCTCTATAGACTACTATTGTATTTCATGTACACCTGATGTTGCATCTGATCAGTTAAAAAAGAGACAACATATATTCCTTTCCTTTTTTATGTAGATGTTACGTTTAGACGCATGAACATCTATTCCGTTAATTGAGTGTAATTTGTATACATTTCTTCATAGCCTAGCTGTTAAAGCGTTCGGGTGTAGGCCCGAGGTTGATTCCCCACATGGGTACAATGTGTGAGGCCTCCATTTCTAGCCTAGTTGTTGAAGCGTTGGCGCGTAGGCCTAGGGTTCGATTCCCACGAGGGTACAAAGTGTGAAGCCCATTTAAAAGTAGCATATCTTTTGAATGTGGAATATTGTTAAATTACCTAACCACCACCACCATCCTGAAACCTGTAAAATACTATTGAATGGTGTTGTACGTTTTATAAAATTGTGTAATACAATTTTCGAAGTCCTTCATTATTCGACGATTGTTATTATCGTGTGATTTTACGAGAACACGTGCGAGGTCAGAGGTCACAAAGTGCTGTCAACACAATCTCCGCTACCTGTAGAGCAGAATTTGGCACAGATGGAATACAAAAGGTAGGTTGAGCATAACAGTATAAGCAATACCTATAACAGCCTATAACACTGAGATTAGTTATTTATATAAAAATGCTCACTTCTAATGTTGGATTTCTCTGCTTTGAATTGCTTCAATCCACTCAAAGGTCCATCATCTGCAAGCCCAAATAAAGGCTTCCGTAAATACACACTTTATAATGACGTCACACGCACGCCACTAAAAAAAGTATGGAAGCTTGGAAGGGCCTCTTCTCACGAACATTTTCTTTAAGACGAATGTGTAAATTGAGCGATGGTTAATTTGATAATACATCGATACCATTATTAATAAATTAAATTAAATAGGGTATATAGTTGTGGTATATATTGTTTGCAGCCACCATCAATGGCTAGAGGTTCATATAGAGTTGATAAACACAGGAAGATTTGCATAACGCATACATCACGGTATTTGAAGATGTCTCTGTCCAACAAGCTGCAACTCGATGGTGGGTTCCAATTACCCCGTTAAGAGATAGAGTTAGAGGGAAGGTCCATGTTGACACACTTAAATCCGGCACGTCTACCATGTTCGCACAAGACGAAGAATCGCTTCTTGTTGACCATATCACAGGTATGAGTGACCACTTTGAAGAAAGATTATACAGAAGGGGGTTTACGCACGACAGATATTAAAACCTTTGTTAATGCCATGAATCTATCTACACTCAGACTCTATTTCAGAAAAACAAATATGAGTAATCCATGCAATTTTCCATTAAATGACATTACAATATGGAGCAAATTTTCAGAATTATTGTTGAAATTGATAATCCTTTTTGGAAAGATGTTTTAATGGCATGGAAATTATACTGTAATAAAATACTGTAGAGGCAGACAACATCAAAAGGATTTTATCACAACCTTTATGGTTGAATAATACAAATCACTTTATTAGGCACTGGGCTACAAATGGAATTTTAACAATTAAGGACCTTTGTAATGAAGATGGTTTTATGATTTTTGAAGATCTGAGCTCAAATTTGATATTAGAGCTACACATACGGATCATGGTTATGTTATATATATATATCATGCCTGAATCATGGAAAATGACTATAAAACACTTTTCCATATTCATAAAGATTTTATGGATTTGAAAAAAGATTCAGGATTATTTTATGATAAACTATTATCTGACAATACTAAACCTCATATTTGCCTAAAATCGGA